GCCGTGGGGCACACACACGCAACTGGAGTGATGACAGGTGTGGTGGCACAGGCCATGGGGCACACGCATGCACTGGAGTGATGACAGGTGCAGGGCTGGAACTCCAGTCAGTCTGAACATGCCGGGTGCCCAGTGCACGCCCATGGTCCTGCCTGGCAGAGATCAGGGAGGGTTGTGGCATGGCAAGACCCGTTAAGGGTACCTCCCTCTGTCTCTCCCTCAATCACATGGGCTTTGAGGCCAGCCAGAGGCAGGCTGACTGAGGCCGCAGGACCCCGCAGGGCAGGCTGTGTTTCAAGTCCCACCGCCTCGTTTGTTTTGAAGCAGGAAGTCTATCGTGCTTAGCCTTGACATTTTCCCTATTACGTCTGCTGGTCAGAGGCTTTGTGGTCTGACCTCCGAGAGCGAAGCCCTGCTCATCGGCAGGCGCCTGCGGGTAAGGCGTGTTCCCAGCCTCCCTGCCACTCAATGCTGCCTCTGGCTCAGCACACTCCAGTCCCAGAGGAACAACACTGGAGCTGGGACGCTGCTGAGTGATCAGAAGTGGATGGAGTCGCAGGCCTCAGCCCTCCTAAACCCACCGAGGAAGAAAATAACGACTGGAGCTGCCCAGGTTTCTCCTGAGATTCCTGAGGCCTCTTGGAGTTGGAAAAGCCAGGACGCAGCCCCCAGATGGAAGGCCCTTTTCCACACTTAACGAGAATCCCCTTGCTGATCCCTTCATGCTCGCCTACCCTTATTTTGGTTAAGGAAGATTCACTGAGGCAAAGCAGTTTAGCACTCCTGAGCACCAGGAGGAGTGGCCGTTTGAGGGGTGACTAACCCTGCGTGAGCTGTTGCATCTCTCTGTCGGCACGGATGCTGACTCTGATGCGTGCTACAGCCCATGTGCCACCAGAGCCCGGGTCTGCGCCACAGTGAGAGAAGGGGCAGCTGTTGATCTTCTGGAGAACTGAGGCTGACTTCAAAGAATTCTGGCTTCTTCCCATCTCCCAGCCCCGAGCCCCGAACTCAGTCAGGGGGGCAGTGTTTCAGTAGAGTTTTGTCAAGCTACCATTGACTAGTAGTAACTGCTAAATCAGGTGGGTGGTGGGTGAGCATCTGGTTTTGCTACTGCTACTTCTCAGCCTGGGGGTGGGGAGAGGAGACATCTTTTGTTTACAGATGTTCAGGACAGTGAGCCCTTCTCCTTGGCTAATTCTACCAAGAACTGAGAAGTGTTAAAATTATTCCAAGAGCAAATTTCAGCTTATGTTCTTACACTGTGTCTCTAAGTTTACTTTTGTGTCTTCGTTCCTGAGAGACAATGGTGGGACAACCTAAACAGGGCCTTTGTGCCATGGCCCTACCTCGAGCCCTGCAGTAGACACGGGATGCAAACTGAGAGTCTTTCCACATGGCTTCCAGGATTGCAGGGCTGCGTGCCCACAGTTGGCCCTCAGCTGTACCCGTGATGGGAGAGGAAGGAAGGTGTAGATGCATAAGGTTGGACCCCAGCGTCGTTGCAGTGCACCCCAGCAGCACGACACTTCGAGAGGCTCTTATTTGTCTACTCCCCTTACTAGACGTGGCATTCAGGGAATCACCTGTAATGCTATCTACATACTACGGAATTATAACGGCATAACAGAAAAGGCATGGGCTTTGAAATCACACAGTCCTCCCTGATCACCACTTTAGGCCACTCGTTAACCCTTTCTGAGACTTTGTTCTGTCATCTGTAAATGTGGGGAGGTAGAATGTCTACAGTCGTGTGAGAATCAGACACATATGTCACCCACACAGAGCCTGGCACCCTGGGTACCAGCAATTCCTTTCCCGTCCTCTTGCCTGTAATACACTCAAGTTACCATTAAGACACAATATAAATGCATGAATAAATTTAGCAGCGGAATTCCAGGGCCAGCAGACGGCATAGCAGTGACTTCACCAGACTCCCTCATGGCAACTACGGTTCAGTCCCAGATGCAGCGGCTTGAAACTCATGCCAGGTGCATGTGTATGCCTGACCAAATTCCAAAGAAGAGAGTTTCCTGCCCAAGATCCTGGGAGGAGAAGGGAGGAGAAGAGATCGCAGTATGGCCATCCCCTCTCGGGGGTGATTTCTCCCTTTCCTCTCACTGTCTCTGTCTCTTCCTCTCCAGCAAGCACATGCACCCCAAAGGCAAAAAAAAAAAAAAAAATCCTCTAAAAACAATTTTTTTTAAAAAAAGGAAGAGAAATTCCAATGTTCGTAAGAGAAACCAAGCCAGAGGACGTGTGTTTGACTTCCATGGGTTTTCATAAGAATTCTCCCTTCTTTATATAGCCATATCTTAATTATCGAAATTCAAGAAATACCTATTCATTAACCACTTACTGAGCTCATGTTCTTTGGCAAGAGCAGTGTCTGCAGGTGGGGACAGAGAGCAGGTGGGGAGGAGAACTGGGGATGCAGCAATGTTAACACCGAGGCAGAGTTCCTCCGAGCTCAGGGAACCGGAAACGACCTGGGAACCCCTGTCACTGCTTGCGAGTGGCAGATGGTAGACACGGTGAGTCTTGTAGATGGAAGCAAGCTCCAACGAGCCCGCCTCACAGCCTCCTGCTGTGTAAACCCCGGATTCAGCCCTGTCGGTATTTGAACCCCAGCTCTAACTCACAGCCTGATCTCAGGCAGGTTAGTTCACCTCTCAAGGCATTTCCCCTCCTGTACACAGGAAGGTCTGGCCTCATGAACACTTTACGAGACAGTGCACATGAAAAGTCTAACGCGGTCGTCTCCGGGAGCTACCAAACTTACAGTCACTTCTCGAAGGAGACAGGGAGTTGGGGTGCAGTGGGGACGGTGGTCTGTGGGACCACCTCATTCTCTAGGAGAGGTAGCCAATGACTGTAAGGAGCGGTGGGGATCACTCCTGATTCCGACTGTCGGTGCTGTCGCTCCCCATCGGCACAGATGACGAGATGGATGAGTGACACCCGGCACCACCCGGTCCCAGGGAGGTCCACAGGCCGCACTCCCTTCCTCATCAGGGGAACAAACGCCGCGATTGTGCCTTATTTTCTCTTTCTATCTTGATTTCAGTGACAAAATGTTCCCAGCCTTTGGGTTTGGCGCCAGGATACCCCCGGAGTACACGGTGAGTAAACGGCGCTTTCTGTGGCCCAGGGAAAACTTGGGTCGCCTCAGCAGCCCCGCCCTTCGGCCCTTACCCTAACCATTGGGCCATCTGAGAGTCGTGATGTACTGATCTGGTTCTCCATGCAAAATGCCCCGTGACCTTTCCTATGACCCAGTGTGTTGGGGGGGCCCAAAACGTCAAAACGGTCTTCAGAGCCAGCGAGGTGAGGTCCTAAGAGCTTGTCTCTTGCTGAAACCCAGCCTCCTGGTGTTCTGGTGTTCTGGTACGCTCCCCTCAGCACCCCTGAGAGCTGAGCTAACTGCAGCAGCACTGCCCCGTCACTGATTTCTCCTTCACTGCAGCTCAGGAGGAAATGCTGGCGTGTGCGCCCTCACCAGAGCTGTCAGGCCAGGCCTTTTCTTCTGCATCCTTTTCAAAGAGGGACTCAATCTCCCTGTCACTGCTGGGGTGAGCAATGGGGGGCGTGATGCGGCCCTGACCTGCCCCCTTCCAGTTCACCGTGTATTCCACATCGGCCTCCCCACCGAGCATGGCTATAGGACTCTAGGAGCATTGGTGGGAAATAGAGCACATGGGGAGAAGAATACAGAGCAGAAATTGTCGATTCAGACCACAGATGTGTGAGATTTACACACACTTTTTTCTAAGGAATTGGGCAATTTCATACAAAATGTCATATTTCTGGCTTCTCTTTAAAAAACTGAAAGGCCTGTAGCAGTAGGATTTAAAGGTGACCTATGCAGGAGTTAGCCAGAGTCGAGGAGAGCCTTCCCCTTCAGATAGGGGTTGGTTCTAGAATGTGAGGAGAGACTTCCCCTTCAGATAGGGGTTGGTTCTAGAATGTAAAGAGAGCCTTCCCCTTCAGATTGCAGGAGTTAGCCAGAGTCGAGGAGAGCCTTCCCCTTCAGATAGGGGTTGGTTCTAGAATGTGAGGAGAGACTTCCCCTTCAGATAGGGGTTGGTTCTAGAATGTAAAGAGAGCCTTCCCCTTCAGATAGGGGTTGGTTCTAGGGTGTGAACGGGTACCTGTGTGGATCCTGCACCACGGAGGGCAGACACTCAGGACACGTGAAGTGGGGACATACAACATGGCCTTTCACAGTCTGGCTAGCTTCACTTAAGAGTAAGTCTTCCGTATCCGCCCACTTTCTATCAGATGCTAGGATCTCCTTATTTTATGGCTGAGTAGTACTCCATAGTGTAAATGTGCCGCCCTTTCTCAACCCATTCATCTTTGTGTGGACATGTGGGTTGGTTCCATGTCTTAGCAATTGTGAATAATGCCACAGTAAACATGGGTGCAAGTGTCTTTCTCACTGAGTGTACTCTTGTCCTTTGGGTAGATGCCCAGGAGTGGAACTGTTGGATCATATGGTAGTTCTATTTGTAGGTCTTTCAGGAATCTCCATATTGTTCTTCACCGTGGCTGGACTAATTTACATTCCCACAAAGAGTTCCTTTTTGTCCACTGCTTTGCCCACACTTAGCATTCCTTATGTATTTATTTTTAATCTTAGCCATTCTGACTGGGATGAGGTGTTATCTCATTGTAGAGACTTCCCCTTCAGATAGGGGTTGGTTCTAGAATGTGAGGAGAGACTTCCCCTTCAGATAGGGGTTGGTTCTAGAATGTGAGGAGAGACTTCCCCTTCAGATAGGGGTTGGTTCTAGAATGTGAGGAGAGACTTCCCCTTCAGATAGGGGTTGGTTCTAGAATGTGAGGAGAGACTTCCCCTTCAGATAGGGGTTGGTTCTAGAATGTAAAGAGAGCCTTCCCCTTCAGATAGGGGTTGGTTCTAGGGTGTGAACGGGTACCTGTGTGGATCCTGCACCACGGAGGGCAGACACTCAGGACACGTGAAGTGGGGACATACAACATGGCCTTTCACAGTCTGGCTAGCTTCACTTAAGAGTAAGTCTTCCGTATCCGCCCACTTTCTATCAGATGCTAGGATCTCCTTATTTTATGGCTGAGTAGTACTCCATAGTGTAAATGTGCCGCCCTTTCTCAACCCATTCATCTTTGTGTGGACATGTGGGTTGGTTCCATGTCTTAGCAATTGTGAATAATGCCACAGTAAACATGGGTGCAAGTGTCTTTCTCACTGAGTGTACTCTTGTCCTTTGGGTAGATGCCCAGGAGTGGAACTGTTGGATCATATGGTAGTTCTATTTGTAGGTCTTTCAGGAATCTCCATATTGTTCTTCACCGTGGCTGGACTAATTTACATTCCCACAAAGAGTTCCTTTTTGTCCACTGCTTTGCCCACACTTAGCATTCCTTATGTATTTATTTTTAATCTTAGCCATTCTGACTGGGATGAGGTGTTATCTCATTGTGGTTTTGATCTGCATCTCCCTTATGATAATGTGAATTGCTTTTGAAATGGAATTCCCAGTAGAATTCCAAGTAATTCAATAAATCCAGATGCAAGAACATCGCTCTTGATTTATCAGGTATGTGGAAAGAAAAAAGTAAACGAGATGTTACTTGACCCTGTGCATAGGGTCTGCCAGATAGAGGAGTTTGTGTTGGAAGATCTCAAAAGTCACGTACAGTCTGTCTTTACCTGTCTGTGTGTTAAAACTCGCTTGTCCTATAGTCTTGCATATCATGTTAGAAAGACTCTTCAATTTCAGCAGCTGAAGTGGAGTGGTTCCAGCCATCACTTTGTTGAGCAAAGACCACGGGCTATTGAGTTATCGTTTTGTTTTCATAGCACTGAGTTCTAACAGAGGGCAGCCAGATCTAGGCCTTCTGTCTGGCCAATTCTATCTAGAAATTATTTGGAATTACATTTTTATGAAGTCTTCCCTTGGATGTTTTTATATGCCTTATTCCCCCCTCCTGCCAGCATTTATCTGATTCTAGAAAACCTTCTGTCATCTCAACTCCACAGGGAGCCTGAAATTCATCCTCCATCTCAAATTGATCGTGTAAAGGCTTAAAATGGTTCCTGCTGCTTAGCACATAATGAATGTAATGGACATTTGTTTGCAAACTCTGAACCTCAGTGCCTCCTTACTGGATTAAAGTTGTAATTCTCCTTTTTTTCCTTTTTAAAATTTTAATTGGTGTCTAGGTCTCTCACGACTTTGCAATCAACTTTAATGAAGACAACCCAGAATGTGCAGGTAAATGACAACATAAAAGAAAAGCCAGGGTCTCATGGCCTTTTCATTTATGCCTTTACCATTTTAATTTCTCGAAATGATGCAGTGTATCACTTAGGGCTGCCCACAGTGGAGAAGCAGATTTTCTGAAGCCAGTAAACCATGCTTCTCGAAAGGCAACACAGAGTCATAATAGCAGGACAGGAAACAGCAGGAAAAGACAAAATACAGACGGGATCTTGAGTTTCTAGCAGGAGTATCGATCACGATTCTGTATTCCTCCGGCCAGAAAGAGGGGTGGCAGATTTCACCTGACGGGTCGTGGTGAGACGCCTCTTTCTGCTTTTTGAGTTTTTATCAAGTATTTTTTTCATAACTTTCTCTCCCAGCAGGTATACGAAAGGAGGGGACCATGGGAATGATCTGATAATTGGGCATATTGGCAAAGGGCACCACCTCAGTGACTTTGAACAGATAGTGTCATGGCTTTGTGTTAGTGCCTTGCCAAAGGCTCTGTTCATGTTTTATTATTTCCAGCCGGAAGTTCCCAAAAACTTGCCACAAAATAATGATGCTGAATCGTGATGATATAATTATGATGAT